CTGGGCAGCGCCGCGTCTCTGGTGGGTCATAAGACTTTCAGAACACTCTAGACAAATGCTGGGTGGATTTACACCACTGCTGGGTCAAACATGGACAAACTTATCGTTGGGTTAATTTCTTTTTTTTCCCATGGAATTGAAACCTTTTAACCCAGCGGTTGGGTTTGTCCACATTTGACTGAACATTGGGTTAAATGACACTTTTTAACCCAGGGGTTGGGTTATTTGTTTTTTAATGACATTTTCATTATAGTTTTTAATTAAATGGTCGGCTTTTTTCCATATTTGATCTGAGATTTGGATTATTTTTTTTAATTAAATGTAATCACAGTGACCCAGGGCCGGGGTTTGTCTATATTTAACCCAAAATTGGGTTGTTTTCCCCAATTACATTAAACTTTTTTACCCAGCGGTTGGGTTTGTCTATGTTTAACCCAACATTAAGTCTTTTCAATTAAATTTAGATTGCAATTTTTTTAACCCAACTCTTGGGTTTGTCCATATTTCACCCAATGCTGAGTTATTTTAATTCAGATTAATTTAAATGACACTTTTAAATCTAATAGTTGGCTTTGTCTTCATTTGACCCAGCGGCTGATTACATTTATAAAATATAATATAAATGACACCATTTAACCCAGTGGCTGGCTGGCGATTTTTGACCAAACATTGGGTTAATTCTTTTCAATTAAATATTAATTACACAGTGTAACCCAGTATCTGACAGCATTTGACCCAACACTGGGTTCTTTTTTGAGTTTAATGTAAGTGACGCTTTTTAACACAACACTCAGGTTTGTCCACATTTGACTCAACATTGGGTTTAACTACATTGAAATCACTTTTTAACCCAGCGGCTGGCTTTGTCTATATTTGACCCAATTGTGTTTTTTTTCCCTAATAAGTTTAAATTTAACTTTTTAACCCAATGTCTGGGTTTGTCCAAATTTGCTGCAACGTTAGGTTAAAACAACCCAGCATTTTTCAGAGTGAAGGGTCAGATTCCAGAGCCACGGTGGGCTTTAATCTGCATTCTCAGAGACTGATGTGGAAACACACACACACACACACACACACACACACACACACACACACACACACACACACACACACACACACACTGATAAGATGGAGAGTGTGGTGAATTTGGCAGATTGGGGATCAATAAATCAGAAGTGCAGTTCATCTAATCAGCAAATGCTCAGGATAACAGTTGAGTTCAGCTTCAGACCGGGATACAGCTGTGCTGCTCTGCTGTAGTCTGTCAGTATGCATCCGTCATTTGATTATAAAGTCATCTTTCTGTTGTGCAACATTTTGTCTTCAAAAACAAAAGTAATCATACTTATTAATAATATATTTAAAATATCTTTATTATCTTTCTTTTGTTTGTTAATTTATAAGTAATTTGATTATTGACATTTTAATATAGATATATACGTTGAAATGGCATTTAGAGAAATACAACACAGCAAGTGTATTTTTGAATTGCTGTTATTTATAAATGATTGAATCATTGGATAAATGCACATGAGAAATTATAAAATGAAATTAATTACACAAAATAAAATGATAAAGGTGGAATTTGGGGAAAAGACTATTTTTTTCTAAAATAAAATTTTTTTTTTTTTAAAAGTCAAAATTAAGTGAGTTACTCCTTAAAACAAATATTAAAAAAATCTGAAAATGGTGTCAGCAAAATACAGATATTTTTTCATATTTTTTGCTTGCCAAACTGGCAAACCATATACAAAACATTTGCTTGTTTTAAAGAAAAACTCACTTAATTTGGACTTTTTATTTCTGTAAAGGAGACAAAAATTATTTTACTTAATAATAAAAGCAATAATGTCTGGAGTTATAATTTTATTTGAGACTGCATACAATAAGAAAGCAGTCATTTAAAATTGTAAAAAAACTTTTACATTTAATGAACTGATGAACTGAATAATTTTCCTTTAAAAAACATGAAAAAAATGAATAAAACTGACTCAAAACTCAATTATGTTTGGCTTTTGAAACATTATTTCAAGAGTTCGCCCTCAGCTGATGATTGATTATAAAGCGTGTTCATCATGCTGTCCCGGGAGAGAGCCCTGAGCACATAAGATCCTTGAGCCCGGGGCTCCCTCCAGTTTGCAGGGCGAGAGGGGAGTTTGAGCTGAGGTAGATCTGGAGAACTCCCCTGCTGTAGTAGCTGATGAACAGATAGTGATCACTCTTAAAAGATAACTACTGACTAGCAGCATGTCTATAGTGCTGATTTGGATTAGTCAATTAACCTAATTCATATGTTTTTGGACGGTGGGAGGAAACCGGGGAACCCGGGGGAAACCCACGTGAGCACAGGGAGAACAAGTAAACTCCACACAGAAACATCAGCTGGCTTGGTAAGGACTAGAACCAGAGACGTTCTTGCTTTGAGGCAACAGTGCTAACCACTGAGCCACCGTGCCGCCCATCTAGGAATGGAGGAGAAGGAGCTGGGGTGGAAGAGGGGGATTCTTCAAGATGAAGATGTCTGTGATATGGAGCTAAGGGTGTTTATAGTGGCTGAGGAATCGTCTGATTGGTCAGTCATACATTGGATAATGCAGGACCGGCTCATAAACACGTGATCCTCTCCACATTAGTTTATAAATAAACCGCACTTAAAATACTCTATGTGGCTGAGAAATAGCTATTAACATCTTTTGTTTGGTGGGGCCAGTGAAAACTGTGGCAGGGCAAGTAAAAATCTGAACCACTGGCCCCGTCGGGCCGGTAGAAAACATTTTTAGCGTTGAACCCTGAAGTGTACTGAGCTCTTGTGCATGTGTGTGTGAGCATGCAGACGGATTATTGTCTGAAATTGTGATGTTTTTTCTGTCCATCATGTCTATTGTTATATGTGCTGCAGCTGAACAGTCCAGCTCTGTGCTCCTCAGTCTGCTCTTCCTCATCAGCTTTGCTTGTAATTCGACTCAAAGGTATTTTTAGGCTCCAGATGTTTCTCTTTAAGACTCGGGGAGGAAAAACGCCGGCGCTCTTGATGGATTCATGATAGTTTTTACCTCCCGGAGACTCGAAAAAACAAACCTGTGCGCCAACATTAGAGATGCGGAGACTGAGGCGCCTGATTGGCTGATATGAACGACCTCCGAGACGCTTGCGTTTTAATGTTGAGATGGATTTGTTTGCGCTCCTGCAGGAGTGAGCTCATGAGTTCTGCATGTCTCCAGCACACGTTTATTTTCACTCAGATCTGACCTATATACATGTCGGGGGGCACCACGTTTACAAAACCCTCGATAGAAAATATAGAATAATATTCTTCTCAAATGATCCGGGAAACGGGCCTGGGCACAGTTGGGATAGCAGAGTGTGAGTGCGCCCTAAATGTGTTTTTTGGGGCTTAGTGGTTGGGGCTGTTGCCTCAAAGCAAGAAGGTCTCTGGTTTGAGTCTCGGCTGGGTCAGTTGGTGTTTCTGTGTGGAGTTTGCATGTTCTCCCCGTGTTGGCGTGGGTTCCTCTGGGTGCTCCGGTTTCCCCCACAGTCCAAACACATGCGCTATAGGGGAACTGATCAACTACACTGGCCATAGTGTATGAGAGTGTGTGTGTGTGTTTGAGTGTGTATGGGTGTTTCCCAGTACTGGGTTGCAGCTGGAAGGGCATCCACAGTGTAAAACGTGCTGGAATAGTTGGTGGTTCATTCCGCTGTGGCAGATGAATAAGCTGAAGGGAAATGAATGAGTGAATGTTTGTTTGAGAAGCTGATATAAAAGATTTTCTCAAAGGGAAGTGATAACGCTTTGGCAACACTCCACAGAAATACCGCATATCACGCATTTTCCCAATCTTACGCAGCCCTGATGTGCAGTGTGTTTCCAGCACCCTGTTTCCTGCAGATTTTAGCATATTGAGTAAGAAATATCCATTATTGCTTATGAACACAACTGAGGATCAACTTTATCTGATAATCACTATTGGTTTGGTGTGAACTCCAGAACAGCAGTGTGTGTGTGAGCGAGTGTGTTTGTTTAAGTTCTAGCATGTTAGTGTGTGTGTGTGTGTGTGTGTGTGTGTGTGTGTGTGTGTGTGTGTGTGTGTGTGTGTGTGAAAGAATGTAAATGCTGATGGAGAGATTAAAGCATGGTGTGAAGTGTGTGTGTGTGTTTATAAATGCTGGTGGTCAAACACACATCTGGAAACAGTTCAGCTGGATTACACTGATCCAGGATCAGCCCAGAGAAAGAGGAGCTGACAACTAAGGAGACCATGGACAGATAATGACCAGAGAGAGAGAATAGAGAGAGAGAGAGAGAGAGAGAATAGAGACACAGAGAGAGAGAATAGAGAGAGAGAGAGAGAGAAAGAGACAGAGAGAGAGAGAGAGAGAGATCAAAATAAATAATAATAACATTAAGAAAAGTTGAAGCAAAATCATCTCCGACATGTTACACTGCTGTAGAAAGTCAAGTACAAAGATAAAAAGAGATGAGGACAAGTGGAGCAATGGGTGGAGACACACACACACACACACACACACACACACACACACACACACATGCACATACACACACACACACACACACACACTCTAAAGCAGTAACACATGCAAACATTCATATACTCATTCACACACACACACACACACACACACATATGGTAACACACACACACACACACACACACACACACACACACACACACACACACACACACACACACACACACACACATATGGTAACACACTCTAGTACACACTTTAAAACACTTGCACACACTCACATACTTTCAAACACACAC